GCTCGTTATTCGCAGACCACCCCAGCGCCTCTCCACTCACTCCCGCCGCTTCTCTCTCCTGCTGCGCGCCTTCCTCTCGCCGCTGAAGAGCACAATACCGTCGAAAGCATCGCGTGACCACCTCGCTGCCGCCTCGCGGAGATCCACTGCATCGCCACCGCCTCCGTCTAGCCCAAAGCTCCGCCTCACTCGCTCTACTGTTTCCCACCTTACGGCAGTACTTGATCGCGCGCCTTTGGTAAGTCACTTTATGTTGAACCATCGCGAGTGCGTCTTCGAGTTCGCCATGGCCGCCGCTGGCCATGCCAAGCATGCCGTCGACACACCTCCAAACGCCTAGGTCGCCTAGATGTAGTCGCGATAGTCACCGTGATTCTATATAGCGCCACCGCCTTTAGCTTTCGCCATGGCCGGTGATGGCCGACGCATCAGAGAGCAAGGCCATTGCCACCATGGCCGACGACGAGCACACGCTTTCGCCACGCCTTCACCGCCACCACCTAGTTCACCCGACGCGGGTTTGCTCAGAGATCACGGAGAGCACTTGCTCTCACCGGAGGACTTCTGGCCGATGAGCTGTGGCCTTACCTAAATACGTCGATTCGGTCACCGTGCCTTTTTTGTTTCATCGATAGATGGGGTCAACTGACGCCGGGTCCCAGCTTGTCATTGATTGTTGTGTTGTAGGATAGTTCATTTATTTCTGCTTTGTGTGCAACTAAAAATGATAAGTGGAGCCGTAGATCCAAAATGGTGAAATAAATTTTGTTATGATCCTCATGACTAGGTATAGGGTTTAAAAATATTGCATGTCGGGCTTTGATGACACTTTTTCTATGGAGTTTTATTTAATCATTGAAATTGCTATTTTCTTGAGAAAGGTATAATAAATCATAGAAAGATCGTAAAAAAAATATGATTTCAAGTTTGTTACTTATTGTGTAATGTACTTTCTAGGAAAAATATATTCCATGCATGTCCTGTAGAAAATTGTGAGGTGTAGTTCAAGTGCCTTTAATGGCTGATTTTTGTTATTTTTGCTAGAGAGCAAAATTTATATAAAACATGCATGTGATAATTTTTGTATAGTGATTATTTACTATTTAAAACATAGGAAAAATACTAAATCTGTTGTTTGACACTTTTCATAATACAAAGTATTTTCATGCTCATATTTAGGTCCAAGCTTGTCATTTTTGGGTAGGCTATTCCACTTATCCAAATGCCATAAAAATTTGATGGTAGACTACTTAGGGTAGTACTGTGCTATGTTAATTTTCTAAGATTTTTCTATGCTATAAAAATAGATGTTGCTATTCAAACATATTATTAATTAGGGTTTAATCAAATGTTGCTTTATGCATGATTAAGAAATTAGTGAAGCTTTGGTGTATCTTTGAAGCATTCAATGAGATGTGTTGACTTCTCATATTAGTAGTAGAAGAGAATGCAGTAGATGACATGTGCTTGTAGTACATGTTTTTGGATGATGTTGACTACCTTGTATGAGATTTGTATTATACTCTCCCCATTAAAACGAATCATGCTCATCTACCTTGCATGCAAGCATATTCATTGTGTTCATTTCATCCGATGCACCTTTTGCATAAGCACTTACGCACCGCATCATACAGGATCACAAACCGAGAGCCCGGTCGTCGTACCCGAGGAGCCCGAGGAGCAGCTCAAGGTGCAGCCGCAAGAAGTGACCGGAGCAGACGAGGAGGATGTTGAGGAACTTCCGGAGTGCCCCGATCACCGCCCGAGCTCCTCCGAGAGAGGCAAGACCCGGAGCATTTTCCTCCCCGGTTTGCGATTATTAATTAATGTTTTACTTTAATTGATGCATTACGTTCAGGAGTTGTTTGCAACCGTTGCTGCATTATACCTTGTCTACCTTTGTTATACTATATCCTTGTTACCCACCGGTATCCGCAATCGAGTCAATGCTTAGCCGGCTTAGAACCGGAAGAGAAGTTTGGGTGATTTCCTATCACCATGAGCTATAGGTGGTTACCTGGATCTGCTTGGATCACTATGTAGTCATGGTATAACTAAGTGTTAATTTGAAGTTGAGACCCAAGACGGAGACTTACTGAGTTTTGGTACAGTAGTGCTTTTCCGTCTGCAGGTTTATTCAGGACCGACTGTTGTTGGGCCTCGTGTCATGTTGAACGATGCCTTACATTTAGATTGGCCGAATAAAATACCTTTCATCCGCTGAAGCCGGGAGATTATTCAGGACAGTAGATTGCCGCAATGACCGCATCGAAGAAAGGTGGTAGGACACGACGAAGCGATGATAAGATCGAAAGGCGATCGGTCGGCCCCAGGTACATGTGGTTCCCGGCAAACTCGAGATTTTCCTAGATAGTTGACTTGATGACCGATAACCTCACTTTTTGTGGGTGAGTGAGGTTTGTGTAAGGAATAAATTACCAATTTGGTTAATAATCGATTCGATCGCCATCGTTCAATTGGATAGTGAACACTTGACTTGAGTTACTTCATCGTAGTAATGTTGATGGAACACTTGGACAATTATAATGAATATGACATTATGGAAGTTGTTAATGATCATTGGTTATCATTATTTGCTTAATCACATGCTTGCTCTAGTATAGGTGCAAATGTAGTCGATAAAGTTAATAATATTTAACTTGACAATAATGCTTTTGAAAGCTTCTTGAAATGCTAAAAATGCCTTTTTGCAAATGAGTCACTACCCTACTATAAAGCCCTTCATAATCCTTGGTGTCACTTTATTTTCGGTTATGTTCTGTAAGTCTAGATGAGTACCTTCTCGTACTCGTGGTTTTGTTCCCACTTATTGCGGATGGGCGAGATGTATTACTGCTTATTGTATCAACCGCCTTTATCCTGCGATGGGTGATGCTTAGGACCATAGGCATGGTCATTCTTAAGTCTTTGTCTAATGCTTTTTGTTGGAGATGATTATTATCCGCATCAGATTTGAACCCGTGAGTGTGTGTGTGTTTTGAACAAATGGCTTCGCTACTTCTATTTGAACTCATTTTGTAATAACTATGTTTAAACTACGATGTACACTGTGATGCTAACTTTTATGTAATATGTGATGGTGACCGCTAAACTTATTACGATCTACGATATGTGAGTTGGTTTGAAATCCTTCGTGATTTCACCGGACTATCGGGTTATCTGGGCTTAAGTTTGCTAAATCGTCGCCTCCAGTGGGTGATTTTCTTACTTAGTTTAGTATAATTGGTGGGTTCTGTTATAAGTACCATTTTCCAAAAAATTCACCAACTAAACAAGGCCTTGACCAATCATCTAGTGAGGTTGTGCTTAATTTTGCATTGAATGATCAAGTTATTAAAGTTATCTCTGATGATGTTATGCTTAACTTTGTATCGAATGATCAAGTTATTAAAGTTGTTTGGGTTATACGACCCTAGTGACAACAGAACACGGGAGGGGCGGCTGCAATCCAGGTGGCGGACGTACGACCCGAGTGGCGACAGGAGGGGCGGCCGTACCACCCTAGTGGAGGCGATGCCAGCGAGGCAGACCAGGCGATGATGGAGCCGAAGACGTGACAACCGTGAGGAATTCATCAACTATTAAAAAACGGGAATAGTTAGCGCCTAATGTTTGGCGCCAGGATTTAATCGGGACGAGCTCCTAGCACCGTGATTTCACCTTCCGATGAAACCGAACGCAATGGAAAATAATTCGAGCAAGCGCGTTGTCCTCGCAAGAATGGAACCGGAAGCGCCGCCACTCCACGGTGGCCTGGCCCCGCTGCGTTGGCATCCCCATTGCGCCTCCGCCCCACTGCGCCCCTTTGAAACATGCGTTTAAAATACTTGCAAAAACACCTGAAGACACTTGCAAAACATACGCAACATACAGAGAAGATACTCGCAACATGTGTGAAACATATGTAACATCATGAAACATTGGGAACAGACGCTTTGCAACATACCTCTGAAACACTTGCAACATATGCAACATCCAGATGAAATACTTGCAACATCCAGATGACATATCTGAAATACTTGAAACATACGCTTGCAACATGCACTTTCAAAGCACAATGTCACCTTCTTGCTTGATGAATGTACGCTGTCGTTGCAGGAGCTCAACGCCGCCGGCGAGGTCGGCGGCGAAGACATGGAGCTCACGGTGCAAAGAACAAAGCATGGCTCTCCCGTGATTCTCCAAAGCTCGCTGTGGGCTCAGGCTCGCGCCCATGGGCGGCGGGCGTGTTGCTGCTACTCCAACGCCGCCGCCGCCGGGCTCGGGTCGTTTAGCACCGTCCGCTCACGAGGGATGGAGCGTGACGTGGCCAGCCATGGGGTGCGGCGTGGTGGGGGAAGGTCACACACGAATGGGGATAGGGCGTGGTTGGGGAAAGGGCCATGACGGGGTGGATGGATGAGAAGCCAAGCCACGATGGTGGTGGGGATTTATTTTTGAGAGGCCGGTCCGCTGCGGACCGGGAAATGGACGCATGTGGCTGAGCATTCCGTTAAAAACCTGTATATCGTTTAACCACGATTAAATCGCATGCACTGAAATTAGCAGTAGCAAAGCTATGTTCCCTCTGCAAGAGAAGAAGTCGAGATTGAACTCTATCACGTCTTCTTGTTGTTGCGATTCATTTACAAAGGGCTAGCAGCTTCTGCCAGCAGACTTTATCCATTTTATTGTTCAATTTTACCAGTAATTTGAATAGATTAGGTTCCAGTTCTTGTTGGGTCCTAACATTAGTGTCTTATTATGCATACGGAACATAGTTTTTAAACTTATTAAGCAGAACAAATATGCCAATAAAGGGAAGGGGGTTGTGCACTGAGCAACAGCCATCGAGAAGGTACAAGCTTGGAATCACACCAAAATGTCAAAGACTACCAAATATGCTCACAAAAAAAGAGGACGACACCTTGGGTGAATGTGCATGTGTTCCGTTCCGCCATTGGATCTTAGCAACGTCTATCAGCTTGTTGCAACAGCATCTAGCGTCTCTTGAAGTTGAAGGTAACATGGAGGGCATACCGCATTTTTATCTGATCTACATTATACACTATGTAGTCGTTGTAACGCAAGCAAGCCTGCAACCAGACAACAATGTTTTTCACATGTACTAGCAAATAAAGTGTTTGAGCCCCACACGGGACTTGCATTTGAAAAACAATGCAATTTTGTGAAGATGCTGCGTAGAAGCGCACGTACCGTTTTGGACGATTCGTGTTTAGTAGGTTTCCCAAGTGGAACAAGCACACCATCATCGGTGGTCCTAGACTTTGTTAGGTCAGGTGTCATTTGACCAACTCTTTTTGTGCTGCACCAAAGACAATCACAACCAAGAAAGTGAGCCTAGCTCAACAGGCCAGATGAGAGATGTGGTCGTGGACCCAATCGCTCAGGTTCAAGTCCCCTCTTAGCTAATTTGAGTGCCTATTTTCTTTATTTCCTCTTCTTAATAAAAAACCGCCTAGTTCTTCCTAAGTTGGATGTTGTTTTAGACAATCGCAACCAGATGTTTGTTCACTCCCTCCATTTCTTTTGATTTTATAGGGTCTACTAGGATTTGAGAAAGCGTATACCTTAACACTCCCTCTGTCTCAAAAAAAAAAATTCTCACCTTCCGAGAAATTAAACAAATTCAAGTTCGACCAAATTTATACAATAAAAACTAATATTTATGATGCCGAGTAAGTATGATTATATTATTAATTATAAAATATATTTTCATAATGACATACTAAATATTGATACTATCTATTATAAATTTATCAAACTTAAAAAAGTTTGACTTATCCCAAACCTACAATTGCATTTTTTTAGGACGGAAGGAGTTAATATATGGGGGTGTTTGATTCTTTAGTTGCTCCTAAAATTCATGTCACATCGAATGTTTAGATACTAACAAGGAGCATTAAATATAAATTAATTATAAAACCAATTACATAGATGAAGGCTAATTTACGAGATGATTTTTTAAGCCTAATTAATCATCATTAGCACATGTTTACTATAGCACCACGTTGTCAAATCATGGACTAATTAGGCTTAAAAAATTCTGCCTCGCAAATTAATCATGAGTTAAAGCGATTAGTTTCAGTAATTAGTCTATATTTAATACTCTATGCATATATTAAACATTCGATGTGACAGAATTTTAGAGTGCCAAAAAACCAAACAAGGCCTTCATACATACATACATATATATATATATATATATATATATATATATATATATATATATATATATATATATATATATATATTATGAAACACTACAAACTGACGTGTTACTAAAACGCATGCAAATTACAAATATAATTAATTAATGATGCATCTTTTGTGCATTAGTCATATATATATATATATATATATATATATATATATATATATATATATTGACTATTGATCGATGGTAAAAAACTAACAATATTTGTCTTTTTTAAATTCTAACTAGTGCTCCCTATATTTTGAAATGGAGGGAGTAGTAAATGCAATAATTTCATCTAAGAGTGTCCGAGTAATGATTATTTTATTATGCAATGTTACAAGGGAGCAGATGAGAGCGGCTAGTGTGGTCTCAATTCACACTGTATCTGTGGACTTAATGGAGCATCAAAATTCTGTCCCAGTCTTGAATTATTATATGTATGTATTGAATTTACATCAGGAATTGGCATCAAGAAACAAAAATACTAGACCATTTAGGAAAAAATAGTGCTATAATTAAAAGATACTGTATCAGTAATTGACCTTAGCTTTCCATTGGGTAGGTTATTAGCATTGTAATCTCCATTTAGTAGCTCATTCATATCGCCCAATGCAACCTGAGAGATTAAATAGGCATTATCAACACAGTTGAACTTTGCAAACAAAATAATTGGGCACAACTCTATATGACAAAGGAGTGCGCGAAGAGACCAACAGATCACAATCTGAGGTTGATAAACATGCATATAGCTCAGAGGTAACTATGACAAAAATCAGACCTCACATAGAAGCAGGACTCCAGATCTAGATGCTTTCGAAGCGCAGCAGTAGTTTGCACTCTTTGAGAACATATCAGCAAAGTGAACACCCTTGCCGAACATGTAACCATTAACAGGTGCTTCAGGGGGAGCAATTCGCAGACCTGGAGAGTAGTAGTGCCACCAGAATCAGCATTCACCAATACAGTGTCCAACTTTTGAAGAGCGTAAGGTATAGCACATCTGAATTTGGCTTTTTATAGGAATCTATAACTTTCTCAACTTACCACACTAACAAAAAATTGAATGTGAATAGGTTACTACTGTGAAGTAAAGCAGCAGGCAAATTCACATGAAAATGAAACAAAAACTCATGCAGATAGAGATAACATTGATATTTCTACAAATGCACTGATAATAACATGGCTTTTTTAGAACTGCGGGTCAAGTAAATAGTACTCCCTCTGTTTCAAATTATAAGACATTTTTGCTTTTTTAATGCGTTGTTTTAACTATGTATCTAGAAAAGTCAAAACGTCTTATAATTTGGAACTGAGAGAATAGGCAATAACCCATGAATTAGAAATCCAAGTAAAGCCATCTGTTATATGAGTAGTAATAATAGAAGTAGTTGAAGATAACACGAATTACCCTGAGAAAGGATCCCCGCCCAGTTGCTCAACCGAGAACCATGCCACAAAAGCATCCTATTTCCTGTACTAGCAAACTGCACAAAAGTTTTGAAAAACTGTCATTTGATACTACAGTCTGTTCTTTTAGGTTGTGCAGATAGATTAGAAATATCCTCACCTTTTGAAACCGCTGTGTTTCACCATGCCGTGACATCTTAAATATTTGCACAATGTCCACAGTATAGCCCGAGTGTGTTTCTTTATGGGTGTTCATCAAATATGTTTTATCTGGTTAGCAGATATTTTTGGAATAATCAGAAACCTTTGAGACAATCAATTTACTAAAGATACGGGATGACAAGGATAAAACACATTCCACCAATTCCTTGTAAATTTGGTGCTCATAAAAAATTGACATTTGTTTATATTAGCTAGAAACGTAAAAGTAATTCCCTTTTGCAGAAGGTTACAAAACACAATTATGAATTACTATCATTATGCACTGAACTACAGACGGTGAACGTCCACACAATTTATAATGATAGTTGGCGGAAAATTACCATAGAGTATTCTTCTGAATCAGCTTCAAGAGGTGTGAAGTCACAACGAAGTTGCTTGTATCGAGCATATAGCGGATCATCCTACATTTCAAGGCATGTTACGATTATGTTCCAACATACCTTCAACTAAAAGCAACAAGTGAGAATTTCATTTCAGAATTATAGTACATTTTGCAAAATTTTGGCATAACTCTCGGAATAAAGCAACTTTTTTGGTTTGAATTCAAATAAGTTCCACATCTGTTGACTTTATGCAGGAGAGAATAGTGACAATAGTCGCATTAAGCAGAACAAAGCAAATGTTACAAGACACCCAAAACACCTCCCTCCCTATCTCTCCCTTGCTGTTTATTATAGTTAAAGGTTACCGGGAGATTGGTATCTCTGTTTCGTGCATAAAAATTTGACCGATTATGTAAGTGACATACCTGGTCACTTGAATCATCCTCTAAAAGCTTGGTTGCAATCTCAATCTCACCTAGTGCTTCAACCTAGAAAATTGTAACATAACAATGTGAGTAGATTCTGCACAAATATGGATCATAAGCGACACTATACAGTGCAGGAAATACTTCAGTCATATGTTGCATACATAAAAATAGGTGACATGACTGAATTTCTCTTAAAGAGCAATGTGAATATGAAACTTCAGTTCATTCGGCCATTCTAATTGAGCACAAATAAGAAACACAGGTAGTTTTATATCATTACACAAGACGGCTCTAGAAATTATGACTTAACATAATTTAGGATATTGATACACTAATGAATCAAAGAGTGTCTTGCTTCAAAATAATCACGTTTTCATACCCAAATTAGTGTCATGCTAGAAATAAGTAGAATACAGTAGTTTATTACCATTTCCAGCTTAGCTTTTAGTTTCTGAGAAGTGTCGATAATAAATTCACCTGTAAGATGGTATTTGTTGGAAGGTCAAGTGCTAATAAACTAAAAGAAAACCCAACAGATCTGGATATAAATATGATATATCATTATGTAACTTCACTAAGCTAGAAAGTTCGAGACTAACTCATCTTTCTGAAACCAAAGTCATGTGGAATCACGGTGTAGAATTCCCTAAAACCAGACAACATAAGGAAATTAAATTTCAATAAATATACAATAGCCATAACATTTCATGAACATAAATTTGTACTGCAATATAAGCAGAATGTAACTATTAAAATAGTTGATATCTTGAGATTGGCAATCGTTATCATTACAATCCAAAAAGCCATAAGTGCAAAAGAAACTCTTTGGTTTTTGTCAGTGACGGAACCAGGGGGGCCAGCAGGGCCATGCCCCCCCCCAATGCAATGATTTTTTTAATATCCCTATAAATAGTTCAATTTACAGCACATCTATTTTTATCATAATATTGTGATTTTTCGTTATGAATACCAACTACATATGTAAAAAATATTTAAAAGTTATTGAGACATACACTTATGTATATATTTATCACACTTTGAGGTGTCATCATATTTGTCCGCCCCCTTAATCAAAATTGCTGGTTCCGCTTACTAGTTTTTGCCATTGATATTCTGAAAGTGTTACTGACTTCTATTAAACAATGCCCATAATGTCATAAGTTAATGTGTAATAAGCACTCCACAACATCTGAAGAATGAAATGTTAAATTTCAGGCAATATAAACAATAAAAGGTATGGTGAAAAAACTAAATATGTTGAATAGAATGTCAACCTGGCATTAGATTGTAGTCATATTTTATACTTCTACCAAATATAAAAGAAACTTATAGGTTATACCCAGTCAATTGCTCAAGCTGTCCCTTGTCTGCCATTGAAATAACATTGGATATCCTTTTCAGGACATCATACCCTGTGGAAAGTTAGGAAATATTATCATCAAAACAGAGGGAAAATATTAGAAGAATGCCTAAAATTTTATTGCATACAATGCTGAAAGTTCATTTCCCAAAACTATTGATGTGTATGGTATATGTAAGGTTATTTGAATGTAATTTGAAAATACAACTTTATTCAAGCTTGTATGGTTAAGTGAAAGTCGTACAAGTCCTGATTAAAAACATCAACATAACTCACCTTCAGTATTGTAGATTTGCTTAGCTTTCAAGGGAAGTTTATCGGCATTATAACCTAGTTGATTAATAAGGAAGATGAATTAGAAAATGCTGATTCAACATGAATATTCTTATCAAGTTTCATCAACATAATCAAATACAAACTTGGACAAGATAGAGCTTATGATAATTGCGAAAAAGGCCTCTAGCTGAGTTGGTTAGCTCACTTTAGTAGCACTTCTTAAGTCCTAGGTTCGACTTTCCGTGGGGGCTTATTTTTTGACTGAGGTTAAAAATCTCCTCGCTTGTCCCACGCCAAAGCACATGTCTAAGGTCCGGCACCGATCGTGGTCATTCTCACATGGGCTATGATGGTGCATTGCTGTGTATGGGTGAGGCAAGTTTTCTCGACCCACGTGAGAAGGCCTTCTTGGAAAAATGCACTCGGGTTGTTTTATTCCCACAGGTTGAGTTTTTTAGAGCTTATGATTATTTCTTTTTCCTGTTCAACTCCATTATTTGAACGGATGACAGATAACTATTTCTCCTGCCTTATTTTACTCTCAGTTTTTTTTTCCTGAAATTTAAGTGTAACAGTGTGTAACGACAAAGGGATAACTATTCAGAACAATGACAAAGGGCCTAATTTTCTCATTATCTTAGTGGATTGAAATACCAAAATGATTGCATCTTCAATGGTGCAAGACTGAGGGTCAGGGTGGGTCCTACAAGCCAATGCAAATGAGTGCATTCTATGGTGCTCGGCTGGAGCAAGAGGGCTCCAAGAGCTACAAATAATTGCAAATGAGTGCTCTCCATGGTGCTCGTCTAGAGAAAGGGGACTCCAAGAACTGCTGTTCAGGGCGCTGCAAACAGCTGAACCTATCCCTGGGTAGTTTCTTTCTGGTTGCCTTTATATCTCCGGCTGTAACTAGTGTGTTACTGTAATTGGTATGTCTTGGCTTATGCTTGCCTGGCGTGTGTTGTGACTGTGAGGTTGGGGTTTCTTTTTCCCCAACACATACTCTTTCTTTCTTAATGAAATGATGCCTAGCTCTCCTGTTTGTTTGAGGAAAAAGAACTATCTATATCTATTTCAAAACTTTCCATCACCTGGATATGGAAGTCAAAATGCAGCCACAAGCTTAAGGTATTCTCAGGGAGTCAGGGTCCTCTAATAATGGATTGATTGAATACTAAAAACATTCACAAAAGGAAGAACCATAAGATCAGAGGAAACAACTATAACTGCATTCACATCACAACTGAAGAAACTGCACTGGATCATTTCTTTGGATGCAAGTTCAGTAAAGCAAGTTGGCAAATCACTTGGGGATCTGTCTGTTCATTTCTTTGACATGGTGGATCAATCAAAACAAAATTTCCAACAATCCATGGAAATTTTCATCATGGCACCTTGGGATATTTGGAAGCAAAACAGTGGTTACATATTTGATAATGAGCAGTCCATTTTATTTTCTTGGAAGAACGGCTTCTCTGATGATGTGCTCCTTCAGACCCATAGAATGGGAGATACTTCTAAAATTTTAGTCATGGCTTGGCTAGATAGTCTCGCCTAATTGTTCTTTTCTATCTATACAACACCTAGCTTTCTATTTTCTTCGGCTAGTTTTTGTACAGTTTTCATGTATTATATAATAAATATAGCTACCACAGTTAGGGTCTCCCTTATTGTCGCACAAAAAAGGTGTCCACACATCACTAAAGATTTTGTGGCTGTGTTCATTTTTCGAGAACATGTCCGTTGACACGTTATTTCATTAAGAGGGTGGCAGTGTTCATCATAGTATATGAAGAAAGCTAGTAGTTGCAGATATAAAAGCTTATAATATGAATTATGATCTTAAAACCTGTGCATAGAACAACTACACAACAACTTACCTATTTCCACCATTTGGTGCTTCATCATGCTAATATCGCAAATCAGGGATATGAATTGTGCAGTTCGAATTTCTAGCTGTGTCTCTTTTATCCGATCAGTCATGGAGCCTTTCTTCTCAGTCTTGTTCTAGGAAAAATAATAAGAACAAATGATTAAGCCCAGAAAAGGCACTAAACTGAAAACCAGTTGTAAATAAAAGCTTACTGTTTCCTTCTCAGTTTCACCGTAGTCCGTTTCAAGCCAAGTGTATTTATTTGCATAAGGTTTAAAATTTTTGCGGTTAGACCAAAGGTTACTAGTTTTGTCCTGAAACTTCCTCTCAAATTCATAGATTGCTCGGCCTCGTTTTGGAAAGGCAAGTAGCTTATCTTTGCCTGCTGCCCCTACTCTCCCCCATCTATTGTAAACCATGAAGTGTCCACCAGCATCAGGTTCTACAATGAAGAGGCACCGATTAATACCAAATCAATGTCAAAGGGATTAAAGAAAGGCATTTGCAGAAACAGTGATTTGCAGGACAAACCTAAAACCTGGATGATATAGAACTTATTGTTGTTGCTACCAACATTAGTCTGGTTCAAGGTGGCATCATAGATCTGATCACCCTGTAGAAAAACATGCAAAGTATAATATTAAAAAACTGAAACAAAGAAAAAAAAACACTGGAATTACAGATTCCATCACAAGTTCTATTCTAATGGCCTTTCAGGTTGTGACATAACTAGTCCACAATGTCCGCTTGAAGACGATCAGAATGTGCATGAGGGAATGAAGCGGGCATTTAATGAATATTGGCTTTGGCATAAGTTCAAATTGATATTTTGATATTTCTTCTGGCGGGGATGATGTATTGCTATAAATTTAAATGTAACTAATGTGCATGAAAGGTAGGAACTAAATAGAGCATGGCTGAAATTGAAGTGCATGCACAGCCAAGGTAAACAAAGGTACAAGGAAATAAGAGGTAAAAAAATGAATGAATCCACACACCACTTGCAAGACATGATAGGCCTGTTTTATGTGGTCAGGAATGTGGTGATCCAGCACAGCAGCACCCTTCTTTGTGGCAGTAACCATCTTCCCATCACCACCTGTACCAATCGTCTATGAAAAATAAGCCCGATCCCTCTGTTTTTACACAAAAGCTGGTACGATAAAAAAACAAATAGTAGACCAACTTATATAACAGAAGTATACCGAGAGACCTTTTGTGACTTTATTTCCGTCTTGGAGTTGGAGACCATCATCTGAAACAGCAGCAGTACCGGCTGCCGCCGACAGCAGCCTCGCGGGGTGGAGGCGATGAAGTGGGACCGCGGGAGGAGAATGGCAGGTGGGCGGGCGGAAGGAGGAGGAGCGGAGTTCAAGATTTTGGGTCGCTCCAGATAGGGTTTTTGGGTAGGTTGCCGGTGCCGGGTTTAACGTTCTTGGTGGAAGAAGGGAACGACGAACAAGTTCGGCGGACGAGCGGAACGTCGAAAAGAATTTTGTGTACGTCTTTGTCGTCAACATCGTCTCTATAGCGATTTAGTAGGTCGTAGAGGCTCTTCTTCCTTTGCTGCCGGAAACAAAGAATCAATGAACAATTCATATAATATATATAAATAACAAATAAAAAGAAAAAAAGAGAAGAAATCGTGTTGACGTACAATTTGGAATTGCAGGAACTCCCCGCACTGCTTGCGCAGGAACTACACTACCAGACGAAGCAGCAAAAGGGTATCTCAAAGCATGTATATCGTGAAAAAAGATGGCCTAGGTTCGGTAGAAACTAATCTACGTGTGATAATAATAAATAGTGGAAAAAAGAAGAGAAAGTATCGGATTATTTATAGGGTACCAGGTGTTTGTGTCTGTGTAGGACTCTTGTATCTATATTACTCAGCAACATCTCACGGTTTTTTATTTCCAACTAGGGGAAATGCAGTATTATTAACGCACGCGTTCACTTAAATATTCATGTATAAATAAAAGAATAACAATAATAGACTTAGATCTTAAAATAAATATATAAACTAATAAAAGTTATCAGTCTAATATATATCAAATCATGCTAAGACAAACGGTCAATGTCACATAGAATTCCAAGATGCATTACTTATAATTATGAACAATTTTTCTTTATTAATATAATGCAAACTATTGATACAACACAACATAGAGTATATTCTTCTACATAGCCTTGCATGTTCAACGCAGTCCAAATTATCATGCTTGGAATAGCTGTCGTGTCTTGCATAAAATCAAGAAACATATAGATTACCAGTAGTATTGTTGCTTTCGCCAAATCACAATCTTCACTCTTAACCTCATGAATGACAACTCACATATGAAGCAACCACCTGGTTGCAGAGATTCAATAAAATCAACTCCGAATGATTAATATGCCGTTACAATTACAAATAATAGAAGCAATGGCCAGCCCTACGTCATCCACTCGTGATAGCCAATAATGCAGAAATTAAACAGGAGAAGAAAGGAAGCAACCAACCCAATATTAAGTGATGTTGGCGATGCTTTGCCGGGGATCGAAACTCGGTCACTTACCTCTTGCCCCTTGTTTAACCAACGATCTGATGTCCCGTTCCATCCACAACGGATAGCAAGCATACGATAGTGGCTCGTCTGAAAACCATTAGAAATTAGTTAGTATTTATTCAATATAGAAATAGATCAAGCATTACTTTTTTAATCATACCACAGGTCAGAAACATATAGATTACCGGTAGTATTGTTGCTTTTGCCAAATCACAATCTTCACTCGGTAGTATTGTTGCCTCATGAACGACAACTCAAATCTGAAGCAACCACCTGGTTGCAAAGATTCAACAAAATCTGTTCCGAATAATTAATATGCCAAACCAGTTAGCATATAATTACAAATAATTTAAGCAATGGCGAGACCTACGTCATCCTCCTGGTGATAGCCAATAATGCAGAAATTAAACAAGAGAAACAAGGAAGCAACCAACCCAATATTATGTCATGTTGGATAAGCCGTTGGGATCAAAACTTGGTCACCTGCCTCCGCGATGCGATCGATGTCCTATTTCATCCACAACGAGGGAAGCATATGATGGAGGATCGTCTGAAAACCATTACAAACTAGTTAGCATTTATTCATTTTAAAATCGATCAAGCATTATTTTTTTAATCATTATACATCAAGCTAAACCAAGATCACGAAGATCAAATTATTTTCCCAATTATTACTTGACTCATTCAAAAAATTCCATGCCTCGATGCTTTTCTCGTGTGATGCCAGTTCAAAGCTCAGTATCACTGCAACATGAGAGTCATGATGTCACCACTCACCACATAAGAAGAGACTGAAATGTTACTAATAAAAGGATGGAGCGTTTGATCAAAGATGTATGTTAGGACTATAGGAGGATTGATAGAAGTTTAGGATCACCTAGTTGCAGATCTAGTGGGTGTATACTTGAATTTAGAACATGGCAAACCCTAGAACATAAGCTAAAGCGACACACACACACACACACACACACACACACACACACACACACACACACACACACACACACACACACACACACACACACACACACACACACACAGAGAGAGAGAGAGGGGGGGGGGGTGGCCGTCTTCGAGGAAGACAAGCTGGCCATGGCGGTGCTTGTCGGTGACATGGTGAAGTCCGGCGGTGAAGACGCGGTCACAGTGGCGGCGGTGCAGAGGCGGCAGTGGCCGGTGGCGGTGCTTTTCGTCGCTGGTAGCACCCCCTCTCTAGATCGGCTAGGGTTAGGATGTAGGTGGGGTGTCTGGCGGCTTAGGTGAATCTCGTACCTTGTGCCCCAGTCCCCACCTCTCTTTTATGGCGCTGTGCGATGGGGCCCACCAACCATAGAGCGGTTGGGCGCCCCCGATCAGGGCGTGGATCCAAGGGCCCAATTGGCTGTTGGGCCAATTGGTGGAGATCAATCTAACATTCTCCCCCTTGATCCCACCTTATGACTTAAACTTAACTTACTTACTTTATCTTGTTCCCATTCCATCACAGATCAGTGCATTGAGCGTGCCTCATCGTCACGGTCAGTTGCCATTAGATTAAACAGCTACAATGCACCTCTCTATTTTGAAACAGATTATCAACTAGACCCTCATTGTCCAGGAATCATAGGCTTTCCCTTAAACCCATGCTGGCTAAGTGTTCTCTGAACACGCTGGGTGGTAAACTTTTTGTAAGCGGATCCGCGAGCATCTTTTCTGTTCTTATATGCTCAAGACTAATTATATAATCCCAGACTTTATCTTTCACAACATAATACTTTATGTCAATGTGTTTGGCGACACCACCTGACTTATTGTTGTGAGCATAACATACTGCTAGATTATTGTCGCAGTATAACTTGAGTGGCTTATGTATGTCGTCTACCACTTTCAATCCGGGCATGAATTTTTTCAGTCAATTCACCTACCCTGTGGCCTCATAACATGCTACAAACTCGGCATACATTGTGGACGATGTAGTGATGGTTTGCTTTGAGCTTTTCCACGATATAGCTCCTCCTGCGAGAGTGAATATGTATCCTGACGTGGACTTTCTGTCATCTCCCGTATAATCAGAATCTGTATACCCCTCTATGTACAAGGAATCAGATTTTCTATACGTTAGCATGAGACCCTTCATACCTTGCAGGTAATGCAAAACTTTGTTTACTAATTTCCAGTGTTCTATTCTTGGATTACTCTGATATCTGCCAAGTAACCCGGTAACAAATGCTAAGTCAGGACGAGTACACACTTGAGCATACTGTAAACTTCTGACAGCTGAACTATATGGAATCGCTTTCATTTGATCGATCTCATATTGGTTCTTGGGACATTGAAATTCCCCATATCTATAGCCCTTGACTAGGAGAGCAGGTGAAGACTTACAATTTTGCATACCGTATTTTTTAGAACTTTTTCTAAGTATGCCTTTTATGATAATCCTAAATCCCCTTTTCTCTATCTCGGTGAATCTCTATTCCTAGGACGAACGAAGCTTCACCGAGATCTTTCATATCAGACTTTAAGGACAATAACTTCTTTGTTTCTAGTAGTAGATTAACATCACTGCTAGCGAGCAAGATGTCATCCACATACAAGACTAGAAAAATGTATTTCCCATTCTTAAACTTTGCATAAATGCAATTGTCCTCTACATTTTTTAAACCCAAACTTTCTTATTGTACTATCAAACTTTAAATACCATTGTCTTGAAGCTTGTTTTAATCCATAAATGGATTTCTTTAGGCAACATCCCATATGTTCTTTTTCTTCATAATAAAACCTTTCGGTTGTGCCATGTAAATATTTTCCTTTAGATCCCCATTTAGGAACGCCGTCTTTACATCCATCTGATGTAATTCTAAATCGTAATATGCTACAAGTGCTATTATGATTCTAAAAGAATCCTTACATAAGACTGAAGAAAATGTCTCATTATAATATATACATTCTCTTTGTGTGAAGCCTTTCGCCACAAGTCGTGCTTTAAATCTTTCTACATTCCCTTTGGAGTCATGTTTGGTTTTGTAGACCCATTTACAACCTACTGTCTTGGCTCATTTAGAAATTGTTTCTAGGTCCCAAACACCATTGGTTTTCATTGATTTCATTTCATCTTCCATGGCTCTAAGCCACTTTGATAAGTGAGCACTTCTCATGGCTTCTTCAAATGAGGTGGGATCACTCTCCATTTGAAATTCCTTACATTCATAAACTTCGTAATCTTCAGGAATGACTGATCTTCTGACTCTTTGAGACCTTCTAGGGGCCTTGTTAGATGATGCTTGTTCTATTTGAGGCTATTGTTGCTCTTCCTCATGTCTGACAAAGGGTTCTATGGGATCCTGAACGACAGGTTCCTCATATTCATTCATTGTTGTCATAGGAGAACTAACAATAGATGCTGTTACTAGTGTCTTGCACTGTTGGTACAACAACATCAGGTAGCGTGAAGAATGGTTCATGAACCATCGTAGTGGGCACGTATACCCGCTTCTCTTTAAAATTAATTTCTCATGCTACCATGCTCCTCCTGATCATATCATCCTCTAAGAACACAACATGTCTTGTTTCTACAAACTTCGTTTGTTTGTTAGGACAATAGAAGCGGTAACCTTTTGACTTTTCTAGATAGCCAATGAAATGGCAACTGACTGTTTTGGAGTCTAGCTTGCCTATGTTTGGGTTAAAGACTTTTGCTTCAGCTGGACAACCCCACAAACGTAAATAGTTAAGTGAGGGTTCCTTTTCTGTCCACAACTCATACGGTGTTTTGGGCACCGACTTACTTGGCACTCGATTAAGAATATGAATTGTGGTTTTTAACGCCTCCATCCATAAACTTATCGGCAGAGTAGAGTAACTTATCATGCTTCTCACCATATCCATTAAGGTACGGTTGTGTCTTTTAGCTACTCTATTCTGATGAGGCTCGCCCGGTGTAGAATACTGGGCAACTATGTCATTTTTCTGTAAGAACCTTGCAAAGGGTCCAG